AGCCAGCATGGCTGGCTGGGGAATTCTGGGAGTTGAAGTCCACCCATCTTTATGTTGCCAGGGTTGAGAAACACTGATGTAAATGGTTGATCGCTTTTCTCCCCAAAGTGTTTGGATTTCTTTTTGACAACTTATCCTTTCTTTCCCCCTATATCTTCTGCATTTACCCCGGGACCTGGAATCAAGTTAAATGTTTATAGAATTACCTGCACCCAAATTTTTCCTTAGAGAAATTGCCTGATCTCCATTCTAGAGTCCAGGAATGAGCTTGCAAAGCGTCGCTCTTCTGTTTGTGAAAGAATTTGGTGGACTTCCCTGTGGCCAGTGCACGTATCCATTTGCCCTGGTCTCCTCCATCTCTTCTTCCTCCCTGTGACTTGACCCTCAACTGCACACAACTCTTGCTTAAAACGGCCCGCCCCAAAGATGGGCCTCCAAACAGCCCCACCTTTCCATTACCAGTGTTTATTCAAAAGGACTCCAGTGATATTTGGGTCCCCATGTGGTTAGGAGAGGGCCTGGGTGCGTTTAGGGACTCTCGCGCTGGGAGGGGATCCTACGCCGATCTTGAAATTAATTTTAGACCTTCTCCAGATGAAATCAGAAAACAGCAAAGTGGAAGGCAGGCCACGTCATAAACCAGTAAGGGACGAGAATGAGAGACCTTGACTCGTGGGCCTGAATGGACACAACTAACTCATAAATGGTCAAAACCATTTATTCACTTCACTCAGACCCCAACAGGCTTCATGCAGCCCTTTAGACTAGCCTAAAGTGGGACTCAGGATTCGGACGTTATCTCAGCACGTTAGATGGAGCAGGCAATCGTGATGAACATCGTGTGATTCTTTGGGGCAGATCATGTTATGCGAACGCACCAACTATGTTTAATTAAGCTGGGTTGAGTGGGTAGCGTATTGTGGGAATTCTGGGAGTTGAAGTCCACACATCTTAAAGGTGCTGAGATGGAGAAACACCGGTGTAAACCTTCCCCCGCATTATTCAGCTTTTCTCCTGTTTTTGAGACTTTCCTCCTTCGCTGCATCTGTTCTCCCATCCTCTGGTTCTCCTTCCTGCTTGCTCTGCCTCAAGCCACCCACGTTCCTCTCAGGAATCTCTCAAGCATATGGGTGGGCAGCTTGCAGCCCACAGACCCAGGCAGGCCCAGCCCTTTTTTTGTAGCCTCCCAAAAGTGAGAATTGGCTGGAAAGCCCATAAAATTAAAGGAAATCAGGGTTGAAAATCAGGTTGGCTTCGTGTGTTGCAAAAACTTTGTCAGCCAGTAGAGGGCAACAAGACGGTTTTCCAAGAGACGTACTGCCCTCTAGTGGTTGAATGGAGTTTGGCAGGCTGGATATGGTAGGGCTGGCTTAATGCACCTCTAAATGTAAACCACGCATCCTCCTGGTGGAAAAACAGATAAATGTTCTCCTGATGATCTCTCTGCACTCATCTCTAGGTTCCTGTTTTAGTCCTGTGCTGTGAGGGGCACGAACATGGCTTGAGCACTAAAGCAGGATCCTTGTTTATTGCAAACCAGTTGATAGATACAACCCATTCACTTCCCCTTCTCCCCTTCCCTAGCCAGATCAGTTAATTGTGTGCCAAATAGGTTTTAGCAAGTGGCCTGAATGCACTCTCAAAACAAGCAGCATTGATAAACCCAGAATAAATCCTGGTTTATTGTGCAAAGGATGCCACAAGCCAGGTGGAGCAGGCTACATGCTACACAACGTGTTTGGCAATCATTTAGCTGAGATGGTGTGCCATGCATCTGGAAGACAATGATCTGAGGAAGGCAGGGTTAGCCACCCCAGTTAACTGGAGGGGACACGTCCAGAATGAGAACAGAGGAACTGCATCGCCACATATCTTCCTAGCTAGGATCCTACAGCAAACATCTGGTTTGTTGGTCACACAAAGCCATTGTTTGTTTTAATCATGGTGTTATTTATTAAGTTTAATTTTGGCGCTGCCCAACTCCAGAGTGACTCTGGGTGGAGCCAAACAGTTTGTTCGACAAGCCGTTGTGTTCAGAGGCTCAAACGTTTGGGACTCTCTTGCATAGTAAAAAGGTGATAAGAGGAGAATGGGGTCTAAAAATCGGGCAGCATGGAGAAACTGAGTAGGAGAAACTTCTCTTATTTCTTCACCCCCAATCCAGTGAAGCTGACGGGAAGGAGATTAAAAACAGGCCAAAAGATGTGCTTCTTCACACAGCACATCAGTAACCTGTGGACTTCATGACCATAAGGCATGGAGACCACAGGAGGTTGGAGGAAATCCTGGAGGACGGGTTTGTTGAGGGCCATCCATCCTGGACTCTCTTACCTGCATGTTGAGAGCAAATGCCTCCAACTTACAGGGGCACAACTGCAGGAGAGGGAAAGGTCTCTGTCTCCTTGTGAGCACCCTAGACGTGGTTGGCCACCAGCAGAAGCAACATGGTGAACCAGGATGGGCCTTGGCCAGATCCACCAAAGCTGTTCTTGGTTTTATGTTCTCTCCAGTCCTTGTATGCCTTACAAAACACAAATACCACATCACCCTAACCTTAAACCAGGCAAACTCTGTTCTGGATGAGTGCGATGCGCAAACCCAGCCTTTGAGTCTCCTATAGGTTCTCTGACCACTAACCAGATCTCCCTCCTCCCCGTTCCCCAGGATTGGAGTCCCATCTGACTGCTCTGGCATCGTCTCTTTCCTTTGCTCTGCGGACGCCGACTACATCACGGGGGAGACGTTTGTGGTGGCTGGTGGGGCCCCATCCCGTCTCTGATCAGGGGGTCGTGATGTCTTCCTGTTCAGCTATGATGATGGAGAGATGATTGTCCAATGGTGCCCCAGAAATAAGAAGTAGGGTTAATTGGGGGGGGGGTGTCACAGGAACTCACAGATGATTGTTGCTGGATCAGCTTGCTTCAAGGGAGACGGAGGTTCGCTCTCCTGAGAAGAGGTGGTGGAGAAAAAAAAAGTGCCATTCTTCTAACTTGTTGGGGTCTCATTTCGGGTTTTATGTGCAAAGAAATGAGGTCATTGAGTGCGGCTGAGTTTTAGGAATTCCTTTTCACACATGCATGGAGACCCCGTGTGCACTCTTGCTTTGGATCGAGCTCTGGGTCCTGTTGAGTGAAAGGTGGCGTATCGGGGGGGGGGGGCCATCTTGGTTTCTCCAACTTCACACCTTTGGGTTGATGGGACGTGGGAGGGTTCCCCAATGCTTCATGGCCTTCCCTATGAAATTAGGAGGGGATCTTTCCAGGGGGGACTTCTGTGGGGACCCCTGGTGGAACCGTGTTGGAAAAAGGGGAGCAAGATCTGGAGGACTCGATCCCAGATTGGGGGAACGGCTGTGACAAGGATCTGGGGAGAAGGGAGATTTGGGGGGGGATTTGGGGTGGTGCTCATTCTCTGCCTTCAGTGCCTTGTGGCTTTTAATTCAAATAAAGATACCTTTTGAATCGCCAACCCTTTGTTGTGGTCTCTCTTGTGGGGGTGGGAAGGGAACCCCGGAGTCCCAGTAAAGGGGTTCTGCAAGAGGAGCAGATACCCCCCTTTTCCTGATGTTCCGATGCTGCCACCCACATTTGGGCGGGGGGCCGGATTGGGTACCCAGGAGACTCCCCTTTTAATAGCACAGTGCCCCCTTCCTGGGCTCCCCCCCACCTGTTCCCCATCCCCGAGGGACTTTCCGGCCACAGCCCCTCAGCCAGGCACCCACTGCTTCAGAATCACCCCCTTGTCCCCCGTATCTCCGTCCACTTCTTCCCCCTTGGCCCCAGCTGGTTTTCCCCTCTTCCCTTCTGATTTGATCTCCCTCCTGGCGTGAGGCGGGGGGCGGGCGGGCAGAAGAGCTCCCCCAAAGCCCTCCTGGTCCTCCTTCCGGGCCAGCCGGCGCCGCTTCCGAAGGGTCTTCCCG